ATATACGCCATTTCCCTCATATTGCATCACCCCTTCATCTGAACACTGAATATTCTCCTTGTTGTTACAGCACAGATCTACTTTTAGGGTAATACTCTATCAAACTGTACGAATGAAAGTATAAATAACACTGCACTGAACTCTTTTTGTAAATGTGAATAAAAATCTCTCAGCAGATACAAAATGCTGCTGAGCTCAGAGCAGCTTTAAAAGCCAGAAACATCAGTATTGACTCGATAAGTGTTGAGTCAAGGATCAACAACTTTGTTCTTGTTCACAGAATCACTGAGTGGGGAGGACCGATCGACTGCGGGAGGACGGACCATTAACAGTAGATGTGTGTGTTGATTCATTCAAAGAGGAAACCAAAGTCTTTTCTCGGAGGAAAACTCGCTCTCGTTCTTCTCCTGACTTTCTTCTTGATAGACGACACACAGATGTTTCATCCAATCACCTGCCACATGTTTGTTTTTTAAAGTTGTTCCTGCCCCATTTTTTTTCCATCTCAGCCGCAGATGGTTGCGAGTAACAAACATCTGGCGCATCAGGTTGCCGACCATATTTCACCGTGTGCATTAAACAGGCAGACGCGGTGTTATTACCCTGGCAGGTCCTGGTCTTCTGGTCGGCGTAGTAACCGTGACCACAGTCCGGGGCGCAGTATCCTTCTATGAGGAAGGTTTGGTCCCGACAAGCTCGGCAGCGTCCGACCCCGTCACACAGAGCGCAGTCAGATGAACAAGCTGGTGAAGAGCGTCAGACGGAAAGTTAGAACAAAATGTCCAAATGATTATTTTTTATCTCCGCTGGAGTTTACTAAACTTTTCATACTTTCACTCACGATAATGCTCCTGCCTATAATCTTGATTGATTTATTAAATTTCTCAACATTAAAACTAAACTGATGTGGTTCTGCACAGATGCCATATTTATAAAATCATGTTGCAGATTCAATGAACAAACACTAAAACAATTATTTGAGTGTAAAGTGTCAAGTCTCACGTTTGCAGAACTGAGTGGAGGCGTCCAGGAAGTAGTTTCTGCCGCATTCGAGGACACACTGACCCTGCAGGGTGGCGTAGGGAGGACGACACTGCTGACACTGCCCGGGACCTCGACACTGCACACAGTGCTCATCACAACCTGCCGACGCACACGCACGTGCACACACAATGTCAATCAGCTGTAAAGCACTTTGAAGTGTAATTGATTAGTTTGGAAAGTACAAAAAAAAAATGATGAAGTCGGACTTGAGATATCGTGACGTTGATCTCCGACCACCCAAATCTAATCGGTTCATCTGTGAGTCTAAGTGAACATTTGTGCCAAATTTGAACGGACTCTCTCAAAGCGTTGTTGAAATATCGTGTTCACAAGAGCACGACGGACAGACAGACAACCTGAAAACATAATGTGTCCGACCACTGAGCGTCTCCTGAACAGTTAAAAGTCTGAGCCTTCGTGGAAACAGCATCAGAGCTAATACTTGTAAAATGGTCTCTCAACGAACTTTGTTGGTTTCTGCTGATTAACAGTTTTAATAAGGAAGAAATGATTAAATATATTTCATCTGGAAACATCCGCTGGTCACTAATGTACAAATATGAAAGTGAAAAACATCCCAGCTGAAGACACATCAGCACCGGCCGCACACGATATTCTTTGTTGCACTGACCGAGGCATCTGTCTCCATCCCGGTAGGAGCCGGGGGAGCACCCCTGGGTGCACACTCCATCCTGCAACACGTATCCTTCCATGCACTGCAGGCAGTCCGTCCTCAGAGGGCCTCTACAGGCGTTACAGCTCCAGTCGCACTCTGGAAGCAGGAGAGAGAGAGAGAGGGAGGGAGGGAGGGAGGAGGAAGTGTGTGCAGGGACGTTGGGATTAGAAGAAGGTGAGAGCGGAAAAGAGAGAGAGAGATTAATAAAGACTTTTTCAGCAGGGGATTTATTTTAAACCCATTTTTTTCTTTCTCTCTTTTCACATCTGTTGTGTTTGTGCAATGCTCCATTAATATTGGCAAGACGACTGAACACAATTAGGACAAATGAAACTGTGTGTGTTTGTGCTGTGGGACACAGATTTTCTACAAACGACCGATGATTGATTTACCAGCGGAGGCCGAGAAGTTCAACCAGGGAATCTACTTATTAGTAATAATGTCACATATGAGCTTTGATGCTTCCCATGAGATCATGACACGCAGCCATGATGGAAACCCAGATTGACAAAAGTAGACGTCGTGGATCAGAGACTCTGTTCATGATGTCGTCTTGCAAATTATCTGAGAAACACGACGAACAATATGAAATGAATGAGTTTGTGAACCGATCTACGAGTTATGGACTTTTCTGATTCTTCTTTATTTTGATTTAGATCGAGTCGAACACATTCAACCTCATCTTAAAGTTCACATCTGTACCTGCTGCCTGTCGATCTCCTCTGTGACCGTGGTTAAGTAAGAAGCGGACGAATGTGGAGAAACGGGCAGAGTAGAAACTTCCACAGGGTTCACTGAGGATCCGGAGGAGGCCCAGAGGTTCCTCATCAGGATGAAATGATCAATAAACCAAAATGCATGCAGGCTGCTGGCAGGAGTGCTGATGGTTTTCTAAGAGATTCTCTCAGGGAACTTTGAAAAGTTCCCTCTGTGGTCTGGGAGCTGGAAACTCCCAGAGGTTCCTCAAAGCCCTTTTAGTTTTCAGAGAGCGGTGCTGTTCTCTAACGTGTGAGTTCACGCAGGGTTCAATGGATTACGCAGGTGGCGGCTGGGGGATAAAAATTTTTTTTTAAAACTGCCTCGACGAGCTGGATGGTGCTAAAACCACCTGTCGAGACGGGACTCGATGCAAACCGCCTCGCAGGGAATCAAACTGTGAATCTAGCCGCTAGCAGTTAGCTCAGCTGCTAATCCCATAACAGACATGGGAGGCGGTGGTTCCACCTCAATTCAATTCAATGTTATTTGTGCAGCGTCAAATCATATTAAACATTATCTCAAGGCTCTTTACAAAGAAGGTGAAGACGTTAAATTGAATGTGACTCGGCGGATCTCACACCTCCACCCAGAGTCGCCTTATTAACGAAATGCAAATACCACAGGGTGAATATTAAAGCTACGACGCTGATGAACGTGCCGCTTCATGTTCATGTTGTGGATTCTACGTTTTTGTTTCCTCTTGATACGCTTTTGTGAGACATCTCGGCCAACGTAGGTTTATGTTTAATCCTGCTCCACAAACAAACACAGACGAAAACCTCCTTGGCGGAGGAGCACGTAATTTCACACGTCTTATTTGTGCGTTTGCAGAAACACGGAGTCAGACTCAGCCTGACAGGAAGAAGTCTGAGCTGGTTAATGGGTGATTAGATACAAGGACACAGTTCTGTGAGGAAAAGACAAGTGTTTCATTCAGGACATGGATCCTCTGAGGCTCAACGCTGAGCTAAAGCACACACAAAATATTGAGGATTTGCATATCTGGTCCCACAGTTTATTACATGATCGATGGACCCCATAAACGCAGAGTAGCACGCTGCAGTACATGCAATATGGCTGGAGAGTAATTTACGGATATCATAAAAGACAGACTACATATCCTCAGTGTTAATGTGCTGCCCCCCCTCCCCCCCGTGCCGCTGCAGTGTGTGTGTCGGGGTGGAAGTTGGCGGCGTACGTACCTCTGCAGGCGCGGGTCGTGGCGTTGAGGTAGTACTGATGGGCGCAGCTGTCGTACTGGCACTCTCCGAACAGCAGCACCTTGGCCGGGTCGCGGCAGGACGTGCAGACTCCGGCCATGTCGCACGTCTGGCACTGGCTGTCGCAGGCTGCAGGAGACAAGCAGGTGGACAGCGAGGTCAGGGTGGACGCGAGGTCAGAGGGGAGAGGAGAGCGGGGACAGGATGTTATGGAACAAGAACTGATTGGATGTTGGTGTAAATAACATTAAAACTCTTCTCATTAGTGTTAAAAGTTATGAACCAGCTCTTCAGGCTACAGATTTAATGTAATATACAACTAGGACGAGTTGATTAGATCCTGCTCGTTAACGTGATTTATCTCAAAATTACTCAACGTGTTCACGTTGATTTTTATGGATTGGATTGAAGAAACGTAAGGATTCATGAGCAGCTGATATTTTTTAGAAGTTTTTAGCAGCTTCAGCAGAGGTTAGCATCGTCCGAGTTGATTTTAGTTGCTAATTCAAGCTGCAAAAGTTGAGTGAAACTATTTAGATGTCAGGTGACAGAATGAAACACTCACAACCATTGTTTTAAACTTTCGAGGCAACGGAAGCACGAACAATAAAGAGAGTTTTGCAGCAATTTCACTTTCGAACAGAGTTCGTCAATGAGCTGGCGTCGATCGCTGAACAACGACTGGTTCCACACTCACCCTGACAGATCCTGTGACCGTTGTCATAGTAACCAAGGGGACATCTGGGAGCACAGAGGCCCGACGCCAGCAAAACGCTGTTGCCGTGGCAGGAAGTACAGGCGAGAGGCCCCGCCCCACTACAGGCCTCACATGACGAATGGCATCCTGGGAAAAAAAAAAAATAACAACGGTAAATAACGTAACAAAAATATAAGAAATTGAATAATTTAGCTTAAACATGCGATTAATGTAGCATTATTGTAAACATGAAGCAGAAGTGAGTCGATCGCCTCCTGGTGGCCGGCTGCAGCATAGGTTACGAACCTCCACCTCCTCCATGTTAGTGGATGGGATACGGAAAAACCAAAGTACAAGTTCAAGAAATATTTCTCAAAGATGGTTTCGATTCTTTTCACACTGACGTTTGTTTATGTTGCGTTCAAGTCTGATTTTATTAACTGAGTCGTGATTGGTCGAGCGTGTGAATCAGCGGGATCTCAAACAGGATCTCTTCATATACAGTCTATGATTGGACATAATAAACCACACGAGTCAAAGTACAGTACAAGGAAACACTGTATTAAACTTGCAGTACAGTTCGTACAGTGGGAAATCAGCCATGCGGTTTTACACTGACCCCACTGTGAAAATCCTGAAACTTGAAAGCTGCTGAAATATTGAGTCGTTGATTAAAAAAGAAGTGTGAAAAATCGTGATGAAAGCCACACACTCCGGTTTAAAAATACATATTCATGAGTCGCACTCATCAGCATCAAGGGCCTCATCAATGCTCCGCGCTCACACTCCTCCTCCTCCACCACCACCCCCACCACCCGACTCCAGAGTTTTACGTAATCAACTTCTACACCAGAAGACTGTGGCTGGAAAAATCCCTGATTCAGCAAAAACTGCATCGTCAGCTCTGAATCGGCATCGGGAGCAGTGAGGTTTCACCAAATGATGTCAAAGACGTAACATGGTTGTATTAAATCACAGCGATGCATGAAGACAAACACGTTAGAGCGGACGCGAGCAGATGTTACGTGTTGTGAGGTTTTAGCGTCTTACAGCCTGAAGCTTCATGTTCACTCTCTGAGTTTGATGAAGAGGCGGATGATTACGCTGATGATCAGGACGATAAAAAACGAATGATTGATTGAGGATGATGAGGACTGATGAGAAAGAAAAGGAGGATGAAGTGGATTTGAATGATTAGGGAAGACGTGGAGGACGACTGGGAGGATTTAAGGATGAAGACACGAGTGGATGGATGTGAAAGAGAGAAAAGATTTTAAACGAGAAGGAAAATTATGATGATGATGAAATCGAGGATGACGAGGATGTTGATGCGGAAAGGGAAGCTAGTCAGACTGATTATATTAAGAATGATGATTACGAGAATCAGAGGATGATGACGGTGGTGTAAGATCGTCGTAACCCGATGATGGACAGAAAACATTTCCACTACCTTTGTTTCCGTTTGTTCTCCCACAGGAACACTTCATACATTGGTACCAGCTTCCCGTGACACAGTAAATCCCATGAATCCCAAAATCTCTTCCGGCAAAACAAAGTTGTGTTTGAATCTTTGAATCACAATTCATGTCTGAGCTTCAAAACACTGACGGTGAGCCGGGAGGACATGTGAGGATTTGGTGTTCGATAATAAAAATCACGGAGTTCCTGAAAGTTGTTCTCTTAAGTTGCTCTGCAGCCTGAGATCATGTGAACGGAGGTTGGCACCAGCGGTTTCATGTTGAGTGAGACAAGTTTAAGACTCTTAGTTGAGACGCAGATTAAAGGATTTTGTCTTTTATTGGTGAAAGGAGCAGATTTAGCAGAGGATCAACAGGAGCTAGGACTAAAGTATTGTTCATTTACACACCTACTTTTTTAAACAAGAGAATTAGAATTAGAAAGTAATCCCCCCCGTTTAAATTCAGCTTTGCTTCTTCTTGATGTCATCAGGTCACTCGAGGATAACTTTAAAAAACTTTAAAAGATCTTCGACTGATGAGATTTTACTTTTGACCTTCAGGTCTTCTCCTGCCCGACCTCTGACCTCCGACCTTTTTCAAGTTTTGTATGAAGGCAGAAGAAGTTTCTTACTCATGCAGGCTCCATGCCAGCCGTAGTGGCCCCGCGGACAGTGCGAGGTGCAGTGATCGCCCAGCAGCCAGGTCCTCGTCTCTTTGCACCACAGACACACGCTGCCGATGCCCGTCTGCAGGTCGGCTGTGCAGCGCTGGCAGTCTGAGCTACACTCTGCAGGAAGGACACACACACACACACACACACAGGGAGAGAGAGGCTCAGAATCCATATATTACAGAGGACACAGATAAAAACATCACGTTACAGTCGCCATGGAGGATTTGATCTCACTGCTGTCTGTCAGCAGGATGAGTAGAAAGACACAGGACTGAAGACATTTAACGAAATGATGTGGAGGATACGACCCGTGGGACAGACTGTCAATAAATATATGGACGACGAGTTTCCACTTTCTCTCAATATTCAGAAACGAAAATATCTGAGATACGAACGCTGCCATTTACGTCTGTGATGAGTATGAGTGATCAGTACTGACCCCAGAAACATGAACACACAATAATAAAAATAAGTATTTTTTTAGTTTGACCCGTGTCCCGTCCACTAACATGGAGGAGGCAGGGATATATAACTTATATACACTTTGGCTTCACTTTGAAACAGCCGGTCATATTGTCCATCTTCATTTACGGTCTCTGATCTGTGGACGTGATTGAACGGGTGTAATCCAGGATTTTTTATTTTCGCTGTCTTCAATATGATGAGCTAGCATCATAGACAGCTGGGGATCGAACCACCAACCAGATGTTTGGTGCCCGACCCGCTCTCTGCCACACCACACGACAACACGCTGCTTGTTTCTGATCCCTTTTAAAAGTTATCAGACTTTAAAACCGCCCTGGCCACTTGAATTAAAGCTTCATCATCTCGAGTTTTACTTCTTCTAAACGTTTGAAGGGATTGAAGCTCCTGGGATTCTCCTTCAGAGCAGAACAGGTGAAGACGATTATTGACGAGAAAGGTACGACTTTAATGAGGACGTCTGGTCCTAACGTGCTCTAATCAAACCCGGCTAATTGCTCTTCTGTGGGAGGGATAATTGGAAAAGAAATTCAGTCTACGAGTTGAGAGAGGAGACGAAAACACGGTGTCGGTCTGGTTCATTTTCTCTCCGACGCATTCCTCAACCTCCCCCTGTCCTCAGGCGGCGGGGTCGCCCAGACGGAGCAGAGATGAGAATAATAACGAACACCTCTGCTGGGTTTTATCTGACGGGATCTGGCTTTGTGTCTCTGGCTCTGATGTGGGCGCTGAGATAAACATCTGCAGGTGAAGAGCTGCGTGTCGGCCCGGGCGAGGAGAACGGAGAGAGAGGGCGGCTCACGTGCGGGTGTCGGACGGAAGAGGAGCGTTAGGACTGTGAAAGCACTTCTCGTTCTGTACGTAGGATTACGAACGAGAGAACAGCGGAGGGATTACAGGGCGAAAACAAGATTTGGATTTAATCTGAAAATGTAACAGGTGATCGTCTGTCTGGGTTTTTTTTTTTAAGCACATAGAAATTTTAATATTTTTAAAAATTCAAGTGCTGGCGTTTATCGTCTCTGACGGTTCTTTAGAGGAATTAATCATTTCAATCATTTTTTTTCGTCCTTTTCTTTTGCTCTACATGATTTTAAAACTGAAGCAAAACAGTTCCACTGTCGTCGTTTCTTCTTATCAGACATAAAAAGAGTGGCTGAGTTTTATATCTCAGTCCTCTGTAAACACAAGTGTGATATATTTATCTGTTTCTTCACCATGGTTACGTTGTTCTATTCACACTCTGTGCTTTCTCTCCATTTGTCCTTGCATGTTAAGAGTCTTGAGTCTTGAAAAACATGAAAGTACATACTTATGGAAAGTCTGAAAAAGTTTAGAAGTTAAGTTCAAGTAAAATTGCAGTTTTTAATTTTTAATGTTTTCAAACCAAGCTGCATTATTCATTTGGAGGAATAAGTAAATATTACCATACGTTAAATCTAATTTACTTTTACAACACTGGGTATATATGGTAGAATTACGTAGGTCACATCTGTTCAGGTGCTATAAACCTGCTGTGACACTACTTTGGTTAAATAAAGAAAAATCATAGAGATCATTTATCTAATGTAGATTCACTCAGAGAACCAATGGTAACGCAGCAGTGGTGAAACACAGCAGATGTTCCTGTCGGGACATTTAATTGAGTGAATGTTATATTTCTGACATTTAATTCACACAGTGAAAACCTTCCTGAGCAGCTTCTCCTCTGAAAAAAAAACGCTTCCGGAACTTAAACTCCACAGTCTGAAGAACACGGCGCCTGCTCAGGTGAGTCACTCGCTCCCTCCGATGCAGATCCGATATCAGAGGAGCAGAAGAAGGAGAAGAAAAGAACTTCCTGTCACATCCACACCTTTCGCTCCTCATCACTTTACCACAAAACACGCATCAGCATTCCTCCTGCCAACACTCTGAGGGCGATCCAGCTCCGGGAGAGAAACAAACGGCTCCACAGCAGAGATGCGATAACTCAGGCGTCAGGCGTTATTGACTGTGCAGACTGAAACCGAATATAAAACCAAAATGGTATTGATTTGAGCCCTCAGAGTCCCTCTTTATGGTGTAGTTACCATTTTTGAGGCACATAAAAAAGCTACGCTGGAGTTATAAATGCACGGCATGCAGGATGGATGAGCGTTTGCTCCTGCGGAACACGTTTATACCAGACATTGACCTGCATCAGGCTGTTTTCCTGCATAAAGAGCGTCTTTAACGTTTTAGATTTTAGGGAAAAAAAAGGCTCTAATGTCTCTCATTCGGTTGTTTCCTCCAGAAACAAACTTCTTCTCGCTCTCTCTGTCTCTGAGCGCTTCCTCTCAGGGACAGAGCTGCTTCGGTTCACAAAGAGAGAGGAACAAAAGTAGGGCATCATCTTTATCTGAAGTTACAGGCATGGGAAAGACAAAGCGCCGCAGACAGAGGAGCCGTGTGGTCCTCTGACGCTGACTTCACCCTGTCTAGACATGTCGCCCGAACAAAGAAGGGATTTACAGATGCAGCTATTAAAGAAGTCCTACTTTTCTCTTCAAGCTCAGCTCTGAGTCAACGTTTGGCTCGAAAAAAAAAAAAGTTCTGCTCTCGCTTCAGATGTCAGAAATAGGATAAGGATCGGCTGGGAGACACTTTTTTTTTCCCTTCTGGCACATTATTCTAACTTAGCTCCACGTGTCACTCAAACAAAGGATTGAATTCATGCTGAACAGGAGCAGGATGTGTGTGAATAGAGGTTTGATTGAGAAAATCCTACTGTACAAGCAAGGGACAAGAAAAGTCCATAACTTCTGTGTGCACTTTACATGAAAAAAGACTTTTTATGTCGTGCAGCTCACAATAACCTTAAGAGTCGCAGCACAAAGAGTCTGAATCCTCATGCGAGAAAAGGGAACAATAATAATGGTAAATGCAATGTGCTCCTATCTTTTGCATATTAACTCTATTAAAGTGCTTTTGTTAAAACAAACAGTTTAAAAAGTCTCCATTGACTTTCTGCTCTTCACAGCCAGCAGACACAAAAAAGTGGAATTTTCACACGACCGCATTTTATTGCGTTAATTTTCTCCTATTATATGATCGCGTTGAAAGAAAAGTCCGCAGGGCAGATGAAAGACAAGTATTCTGGATCTACCAGTGTCAATATTAAACAAGGCCTCACATGCAATCAAAGAGCAACAAAAGACAAAAAGATAAGATGGTTCTAAATTCATATTGTTCTTCAGAATCTAGGTTTTTTTTATTCTTCTCCGTTGAAGAAGCAGAGACAAGAAATAAAAGTTGATCCTGTGTCTTTGCAGTTATGCCTTGTTTCTATGGTGATTCCTGATATGAGGCCTTCAGGTCTATTTTGAGCTTCATATGTCGTTCTGGCACAATCATGACATGAAGTAATCTCTTTTGGTTGAAGCGCCTCAGAAACTCTTGCTCTCAGAGCTCAACGTCTCCTCATCATCTGCCCAGAACTTGATTTTCTTTACATCAAACAAACAAACTTGGCAGGAAAGTTCAAATCTGTGACGCTGCCGCCGCCGCTGACACTCGATCCTCACACAGACCCACATCTCACGCTCCCTGTGCAATGAAATAACGAGAAAACAACATTGTGTTGTTTGCTAGGACGTGATTGCAAGTTGTAAATTTCGTTGTCAGTTTATTTTAATCTTCTTTTGCAGTAAAACACGTCTGATTGTTGTTCACACTTTGAAAACAAATCAGCAGCAGACAGATGATCCCTCTCCTGGAATTCATCAAACACAGAACACGACTGAGCTGAATCGAGTGACAGCGGCAGGAGGAGGCAGAGCGAGAGTCGGAGGAGGAGGAGGAGGAGGACGGACAGGGAGAGGATAAGAGGGGACAACTCGTAGTGAGACATCTGACGGCTGCTCTGGTCCCGGCTCATGATGGAGAGTGAAGGCCTCGTCACGTGACAAGTTGTGTAAGAAGTGGACAGATGAAATCGAGGGCTGTGTGTATGAGAGAGAGAGAGAGAAGAATAAAGCAAGAATAAAAAGAGCGAGAGTTTGTGTTCTCCAGGGAGTTTTGCTTACACGTCTGTGTATTTTCGTGCATGTGTGCATGTCTGGCAGTGCAGAAATGATGACCCCGGTGTTTCTGTGGCCCAGAAGTGCCACAAGGCATCTTTTATTAACTAGAGTCTGGCTGAGCTTGACCCATTTGGAATTTACTTGCGTGTGCACGAGCGAGGAGCGCGCACCTGCACACGTGTGTGTCAACATGTGTGTGTGTGTGTGTGAAATCCGCTCGCAGATTCAAACAGTGCACGTCATCAAAAACTGTAATTAAAAGTCAATGCATCTATTTTTTCCCTCAGACTCTGTTTACCTCCTCCTCCTCCTCCTCCTCCTCCTCCTCCTCCCTCCTCCTGCTGTGGCTTCCCACCACGTAAACATGCCTGCGTTTAATCTACAGCCAGAGGTCTCGACAGGTAGAAACTACCTTCATTATCCAGTGAGAGGAAACACAACAGTGGGAGCTGCCTTATGACTTCAATAATTCAAGAGTCACTAATTATTAAATCTTCATATTAAGGTTTAAAAATACTCCTGAATGAGATATTAAAACAGTTACTTCTTTACTTTTCTATTCATCTTCCGTCTGTTACTTTTGCAGCCAAGGCCCGTCAAACTTCTCATGTGCAGGAGAAACATGGCAGGAGGTGTGACGCCTCGTCTTTCTGATGGGGCTTATTAGCAAAGATCTAAAAAGAGCTCCTCTCCTTCCCTGTGGATATTTCATGTCGAGCTCCTCTAGAAAGTGAAGTTGTTTTATGGGGGGAAAAAACTTTTTATTGTGGAGAAGAAGGAGCCAGGAAACGAAATTATTTCTTATACTTCATGTTATAGACATAAGTTGTTGAATTTTGAAGAAATCACACATTTTGTTTAGTGTTTAGATATTAAACAGCTGCAGAAAATTCACTTTGCTTCCTTGTTTTTGAAACTTTTAGAGCCACAACAACCCTAAAAAGTTTTCTAGGATTATTTGGTTTCAGGCTAAAATGCTCTGCAAAGTAAAAACGACCTTGAACTGCAAACCTACAGTTATTTCTTCTGACTAGCTACACGACAACCTTGACTCGTTTCTACCTCGTTGTACTTTGAATGCAGTTTGTGTTCAAGTTGTTTGTTTGATAGATGAAATCGTGTTTGTTTTGTTTTGCTTCAGCCTTGAGAAAAATATCTAAGGAACATTATCAGGGTCGGACACAAGATGGATGCCATATTCTTGATTTGCAGACGTCAGGTTCCAACTGGTCTGATTGCACCAACGACCAAAGATGTGAAAAGCTTGGTGGGCAACACCAGGCACTGAGCCCGCTGCTTCTTTTCCCACTGCGGTGACTCAAGATATAAATAAAAGCACTCATGGCAGCATGTTTGATGGAGGCTTTGTGCAAATGGCATACAAATGTGCATGACACCATCCTCGCACCCAAACAGACACACACACACACACACACAGACTTACTGAGGCACTCTCCAGTGGCAGCGTTGAGGAAATGCCCGTCCTGGCAGCTCGTCCTGCAGTAGCCGCTCTGCAGGGAGGCCAGCGGGGGACAGGAGGTGCAGTCGGCCTGGGAGGGGCCGGAGCAGGACTGGCAGGACGGGTGGCACGCTGCAGGGGGCGGAACAACAGGGTCAGAAATCAGGCAAAAAAAAAAAAAACATTTCAACAGCGACCGTGACTCAACCCAGGGGCCGCAACACGTGAGGAGGACGCACGCCAGAGTTAAACTGGACTGTCAGGCCTCAAACTCAAAGCCAAACAACACCAATGAAATGATAAAAACTGAGATAATTGATGCTGCTGCATCTCAACTAGAGGAGAGAGAGAGAGAGAGAGAGAGAGAGAGAGAGAGAGAGAGAGAGAGCTCTGAGTCACTCATCACCCGAGAGGAGACAATTAGAGAGGAAAATAAGAAAAAACACAAAGTGGGAGACTTAATTGGAGGTATATTGATGACTGGAGGAGAGGTGGGTTGGAAATAGAGAAGGAGTGAAAAGTGGAGGAGGCGGAGACGAAGAGGAAGAAGACGGGCAATGAAGAGGAGGCTGGGGAGAAAGACGGAGGGGAAGGAGAGAATAAAAGAAAGGAGGGAGGGAAGGCTAATTAATAAAAATGTAGTGAATGAAATTGAAGCAGAGAGCTGCTGCCTCGTATGAAATTAACTTTGGCAGCAGATGTGAACTCACAGAGGAAGAGTGGGATCACGTGTAGAAATATCATCAGGAGACGTCAGAATTGGATTAATTAGCTCAATTAAAGATTCTGAGACGTTCAGACCGTCGGGAAAGAACCTCGGGGAGAAGCGTTGCAGCTCTGCAGAGACGTTCATTCACCTAATCTGAGAATGTCCCACGTTGAAAGGGTTCATGAACGTTACCCAGGCAACGACCCACGGATCACATCCCACTGTGGAGCCGCGTTCTGTCTTCAGACCGAGAGTCGACCATCGGTTTATTATGAGCTGTCGCTGTGAAGGAGCGGCCATCTTGTCCTTCAACCACAAGTGACCATATTTGGGGGAGCGAGGGGGGTGGAGCCTGACTGAGAGCCACTTACACCCGCGACCTGCAACCATTGGCCGGTACATGCGAATCACCACGCCCCCCAAAACTAACAGAGCTTCATCGTCTATTTTAACTTTAAATGGACGGAATGAACTTCAGCTGTTTTGAAGAGACTTGAAACTGGTGAACGTCGCGAAGCAGATTTATTAGCAGCATTAACAACATCACATTTCTTTGTGCTGGAGAATGTGAATCTCACTTTAGCTCCGGTTTCAGCTCTGGAGGCAGAACTGTCTGACTCTTCAGTGGGTGAATATTTCTCTGTCTCCTGCGGCTGCAGGTCTCTAACCTCGCTGTTCGGGGGAGGTTGGTGTAAAGAAAGTTAAATGTCAGTTTGCACAACGCAGCTGCAAATAGTAAGAGCTGAGACGGAGACGTTCGGTAAACGTGCAATACATACAAATAAAATAAAAAAGACGTAAAATCTCAGTGGAGCTGCAGATTTGATGATGATTCTTTGTGGCCGTTACAATAACCATAACTAGAGCTCAAGCATAAAGAGCATAAAAAGCAACAGCACTAAAAGTTCTGTGGTAAAATTTTACTCTCACCAAGACGTGATGCTTTTTAGTGTGTCTGGGTTGTTTGTAATGAGCCAATCACCACGGGAGGAGACGAGGAAAAAGACAAACCCATTTATTTTGGTACAGACGCTGGATAGTGAAGCTCTCACCTTCGCATTCGCTGTCCTGGATAAAGAAGCCCTGGGGACAGGAGGGGCCACATCGACCCTCGTGCAAGCTGGACGGGGAAGGACAGGATGTGCAGTTGTCTGCAGAAGGTCCAGCACACTGCAGGCAGGAGGGTTGACACTCTGAAAATGAAACAGAGACAGAAGTATTTTCAGTTTCGCTGCGAGAAGCATATAAAGCCTGAAGCCAGAGTGCACTCCCCCCCCCCACCGTACCGTCCTACTGCAACAGAAATAGGAATAAAATGCAAAATGAGAGGGAAAATCCACTTTCCAGGTCTAAAAGTCTCCTGTATCAGGTTTACGTTCCTGCATTTCCCAGAAATTGTTTTGCTTGTGGGAGAAAATGCAATCATTCTTAGTGTTAAGGGCTCAGAGGCGACGGGGCGCGTACTGCTGGAGTGTGAAATCAACTGAGGACCATGTGGATTTGTTTTGCTCTACACTCCATTACTAATTCTGCCCTATTGTCGCAGCATGAATGCATCAAAACTAAATGCAGGACGTCTCTGTGCAGTTATTCACCTAAAAATACTTGCAGCCTGTGTTTCTGCGCCCTGAGCTGCTGCCAATACTCGCCACTATTTCTGTTATCCTGCGGCCGCTCTGCTGTATCTTGTATCCTCCCCTATTGGCATGTTTGGAATCTGATTCTCAGGTTTTGCGTCGGCTCTGCCAGCCAGCAGTAATGTAATGTAACACTCATACGAGGCCAGCAGCCCGAGCCACCCTTCAGAAGTTATACGCATTAACAACAGAGATGGTGCCAGCTCACAGGGAGCGTTCCAAGGCGGCCACGCGCCAACGACGACTTCAGAAATATGCTCCGCTGCCGTTTGAACTGTTTAGTTCAGACACTGAAACATAAAAACCTCCCCGATGGTTATTTTAGGATGCTTTGTATCTGAGGGATTTAAATTTTAAGTGCCGAGTTGAAAGGTACGTCAGGATTTAATTGTTTGAAACATTGAAAGTAAATTAAACACATCACATCCTCTTCAAGTAAAAGACAGGCAGGGTTAACTTCTGTAAAAAAGAGAAATACCGTCAGTAGAAGAAGAAAAATATCACAAAGATGAAAATATGTAAGCCTATAATTAATATTTTTATATTATATCACAGTGACCTTGAACCACTCAATTCTAATCACTTCATCTTTAAGTCCAACTGAATGTTTGTACTAAATTTGAAGATATTCCCTGAAGGGCGTTCTTGAGATAACATGTTCACAAGAATGAGACGGAGACAAATAACCCGAAAACACAATGTCTCCGGTTGGTGTGTGGAGACACTGACTCGTCCCTTATTTGCCCTCAAGCACCTTCGCCCCAAAACACAGCTGCTCTGACACCTTCTCACGTCTGCTCTGACCGCAACCACGACAAATAACCGAGCGACGCTGTCGTTTGGAGACGAGCCACAAACCCACCAACCTGCTGCTGCTGCTGCTGCTGGAGGCGGGGATGAAAGACGACCACGAGCACCAGAAGTGTGTGTCTGTGTGTGTGTGTGTGTGTGTGTGTGTGAGTGTGTTTACACCACTTGACTTTTTTTTTTTTGCACGGATGTGTGTGTTTATAATTACTCCTCTCTGCATTCTTTCACAGAGCTGTCAGCTGTATCCTGTGTACACACACACACACACACACACACACACACACACACACACACACACACACACACACACACACACACACACACGCTGCACGACAACCTGGCAGGAGCAGACTGGTGCTCTCTACCTGAGCCAACACAGAGTGTGTGTGTGTGTGTGCCTCAGTGTCAGAGCGAGGACTTTGCAAAGTCACGCCGGTGTGACCCACAAAACCGTAAATCTGACATCCTGTCACCCATCCATCCACCCCCCCCTCCGCCCACCTACCCATAATCCCCTTCTTCTCTGTCAAACACAGCACAGCCTAATTGGGGAGATAAACTGACAGGCTAAATACTTCCATGATGGAGTTGACCACCCACCTGCACGCTCGTTCATGCATGAACACGCCAACAACACACTGAGCTAAACGAGCGACACACAACCCTTCATGTTAACATAAAACACACACACACACACACACACACACTCAGAGGCATATTAAACAGGCCTCCTGTCATTACTTTTTTTTTTTTTTTAACAGCAGCTCGGTTGTGTGATTTGTCACAGGGCGGAGAGCGCATATTGATTCCTGTGTAGAGCTTAAACTCGAGTGCAGGCGTCTCACATTATCCGCTGCACGTGTTCACAGAATCTGATTCGTTTCTTGTTTTGTGCTGATGGGGTCATAATTTGAGTCGGGGCGCAGCGGATGTGATGAATCTCATTTGGGGTGGGTGAGCGCTCCGTCATGTCTTCCTCCAACGATGGATCATTGTGTTAGTGCAGAGGAGAGCTCTGTATATAACACGACGCTTCTATCTGATCCCTCTGAAGGGTGGAATCGATCATTCGCATTGATTATGATCTGTTATGGTATTCTAGAAATCCATCCACGCCTCTGAGAGACAGCGGAGTTAAAAATAATAGAGTCCGACTGATATGGATTTTTGTGAGCCGAGGCTGACACCACTATTAGGGAGGGGAAAAAAATCCTACACCGTCATAATAACTGATAAAATATATATATATATTAAAAAATGATCAATCCTGAGGTCAAAGAGTTTCCAGTTTAACCATAAACTTTGCTAGAAATAACGATAAAGAAAAAAGAAAACAAAATAGAAAATATGAAGAACGTGAATAAAGAAAAAGAAAACAAGCTGCTTTTATATTTATATATAACACTATTCGAGTCTTAACGACAACTCATAGCATAAGTTTATTCATTGTTTATTCTGTAAAATAAAATAATCATATCAGTGCAAAAGACGGACGATATGAAAGAGCTCAGACATGTTGATCATGTTTACAGTCTACGAGCAGAATAGGCCGATAAACATTAACGCAGATTTTATACATCCAGAGGAATTTTCCAGACCAACCCTCTAAGCTGCTTCCTGATAGATAGCAGCTCCATATTTCAGCCACTTATTCTCCTTCAATGAAAACAAAGCAGACACTGGAGCCTAGATGACATCTTCTCTGCTCTTTTCTTTGCAATGCACGGGAGCAGTGCAGCGATACCAAGTTCCTCATGAATCACCGAGCTCCTCCGGCACGGTGAAACCTCTCAGCCCCTGCAAACAGACCTGCAGCCTCACTCCTCCGTGCCACATGTCCAGAGCTCCTGATCCGAGATCACGCTCACACATGATAAATGGGGAAAGTCTGTCCCTCAGGAGTCACGTTTCAAGGTTGTTGTTGTTGTTGTTGCTCCTCTGGCAGTGACGTTTCCAGGCTGTGGGATTCTTTTGTTTTATCAGTTGGGTCATCACACCACAGAGGAGCGAGTGCGGGGGCAGAACAATAGATGTTCACAAAGACCTGATCTGATTCGCGCTCAGACGTTCTGTCCTCTGTGAAAAGAGTCGAGAGTTCACCTGCTGCGAAGGTTCAGACTTCAGAGCAGATTGAAGCGGTAGAAACTGGCAGGTTTGCCGTCACAGAGATGACAGGTAGAACCACGCTTCATCAATAATCATTTTTATATATCGAGTCGGACTCCGACACTCTAAGAAAGATGGACGACGCATCTCAACTTCGCACCGTCCACAAATAAAGACAAAATATCCAGAAGGGATTGGAGCCGTGAGTTCAAGGTCCGAGTCTCGGCTGTCAATCCTGACATCTCATCCTGTTTTCATAGCATCAGATATCTAATTAAGAACAAATGAATCAGACACGTCAACACTTGGCCCTCGTTGTTTGTGACCACGTGCTCCCGCTCGACCCGTCCGTCCAGCAGCATCAAACCTCCGGCTCAAAGGGATTTACTTAAAGAGTGTGTGTGTTTGTCTGTGATTGTGTTTGTGTGTACATACAGTAAACACTCGAGTGTGTGAGCTCATGTTTACACACGTCCTCCAAACAGTAGCTGCTGAGGAGGTGTGAGTTACACACACACACACACACACACACAGTTTGTACAGCAGCCTGCAGAGTTTCCAGCTGTGCACCTGAACACGGCGACTCTCTGCGCTGAGCGAAACCTTTGTTCCTCATAACAGAGGCGGAGTGGAACGGCTGATTTGCATATCACTGTGAATAGAGCTTTAATGACACGTCATTTATCGCGTTGATCCTCAGCCCTCGGAGCGCTGAGCCTAATTCAGGAAGCTGGGAGTGAAAGCAAACCGGATAAGTGGCACTTAGTCAGAAACAATGGCCGACGTACAGCATAACTACACTGAAACGATCATGAAATCATCTGAAATGTGAGAATTTGATATTTGGAGGTGTTTGAATCGTGATTCGAATAACATCGAACTGAAGTGGGTTTTTTTTTTTTTTTATCAGTTAATCACCCAGGAACATTAGAGATCACACAAGCACGAAACGGCAAACGAGGAAGATCGGATGAGGTCGACCGCAGCGACCATACGAGACGCTCTGTTGCCCTAAAGATGAGTTACTGGTTTAAACGCATCCCACCCACACACACTGGGATGTACGAGGCAAGCACCTCTTTGCTCCGGGTAGCTGATCGCTGAAGCACATTCTGACCAGCTGCCCCGAGGCGAAGAGGACGCTGTCATCGCTGAGGTCACGACAAGATGCTGCAGATAGAGGCAGAGAATGTTGCATCAGCCCTCAGCCAGCAGCCAGCTCCTCTTCCCACTGAGGAAGCTTTTACAAGAGCGGGCGAGCAACTCCGACCTCAGCCCGGGATGTCCACAGGTGTAATCGCTGCAGTGACAGGCTGACAGCTGCACGAGGAGCTGGGCAGAGAGTTCGAGTTCCCAGACACCATCACACAGATAACGCTCGGATCTACAATGGGCTGGATCGAGGACACAGACAAGACGCAGGGAATCTGTACGTTATAGAACGAATCAGGGATTTTAGGTGACCGTGGGTCTACAGGTCGTTTTTTTGTCCGACAACACAGCTTCTAGGTTTTCAAAAAGTTTCCAAACTTCTCAGTTTTAAAGGCTCAAACACTCGTAGTCGTGCGGACGGCAGATATAAACGTGGCATCAGTCGCGTTTAAAAACTAAAACGTAGTCTTGTGGAGGAAGGATGCAGAGGTTCTCGTCGCCTGTCACTTTTCTGAGGCTTCTGGGAAACATGAGGAGACAAATCAGGGAGGCTCAAGGACCATGATGCTTCTCGTGCTCGCAGCAGAACAAAACAAAAACCATTTAAAAGCGTTTTGCTCATTAAACTGAAGTTTGTTTTTGTGAACATCCTCTTTGCAAGTCGTCCTCTTAGTGAGGAAACTCAATCTTAAAGCCTCTGGTTCCTGCATCGGCTCCGTGTGCTGCTCCCATGTGATTAAACAGATAATGGGCGTTACCGGACGCTCCAACTACTGCTCATCGATTTGTAATTGTCTCCCGGAGGATGATTAAGGAAATCCATTACTGCTGACGGCTTTTCAATTCCAGGTAAAGTAAACAAAAGTCTGTTCTTGGCTCCGTCTGAACTTAAAACGGCTTCAGGCTCAAGAACCTAGAAATTAAAGTGATGCAGACTCGTGGAGTTTTTTGATATAAAACTCGTTTAAAGCTCATAGAAAAATGTTTTGACTCCTTAAGAGGGTTTTTCAAACTCCACTTTGAGAACAACTCTGACCAAGGGAGAACCAGCGAGCAGATTTTTAAATTCCTGGTGATGCTCACTTTACTCTCACAGGACTTGGAGGAATAACCAATTATAGTGTTTGAGAGTTACAGGGATCCAGGAGCCATCAGTTAACAGGAAACTATAAAAACATTCCTCGGGGGAGCCTGTAATTGAGATGATGGCTGAACTGCACCTACACCCTGAGACACAGCTGCTGAGTGACTGTAAACAGGCAGCGGGGACTTATCTGCACCGCCGTGGGAAAGCCCGTCAATCCTACCCAGAGTGCAACGGGCCTCGGTTTGAAACTCTGCATGTTCGCGGTGTCACTCGTCTCCTGCACCTCTACAGAGCTCTGTATTGAGTTTCTGTTTGACAAGAGTCGAGTCCCGTCAGTGTTCAATTCCACCGTGACCTTTGTCTGACATTTACCCGGAACGATTACACGTCTAAAACTGATTGAAGTTCAAAGGATCCGTTTGATTATTTTAATTACTGTTATTACCGTAAAAGGTTTAAAAGCCCTAATGCAGAGAAAACACATCACTCTCCTCAAACTGTCCACTGCTGCTGCTCCCGTTTCACCAAAAGCTCTCGGACGTCTTTCCAAGTTCACGTCTTCGTCTCTTGGTTGAATAAGCATGATTTAGTTTCCTTGTCATGGATTTTCCTTCTGCGCTCTGATTGAATTTGGTTGAACAAATCAGATTACCGCACCAGAGTGACTGCAGATCGACTTGTTAAGCGACAACTCGTTCGCAGCCACGACCGATGACACGCAGAGAGACTCCGCTGGCTGCTTCTCCCCGAATGAAGGAGGGAATCGAATCAAAACGTTCACGTGGGCTCACCTCGGCACGTCTGCAGGTCGTCCAGGAAACTGCGCGCGGGACATGCAGCCGTGCAGACGCCGTGCTGCAGGAGGCTGGACTGCGGCAGGAGGGCTTCCTCTGGTTTGAGGCAGCGGAGGCAGTCTGAGGCCAGCGGTCCCACGCAGGAGCGGCAGGACGGGTGACAGTCTGAAGACAAAGCAGGTGAAGGGTCAACGAGGAGGATTGTAAATGATCTCAACAGGCAGTTTTTAAATCAAATGAGTTCTTACTGTGGCAGGTGTTGTCCTGCGAGTACAGTCCCTCCCCGCAGGCCTCCACACACTGGCCCTGGTGGAGAAGGAGCCCGTCCGGACACAACGTGCACTGGGATACCGAGGGACCCCAGCACGAGGAGCAGGAGGTGTGGCAGGCTGCCCGAGGTTCAGGGGAGAGATGAACCAGAGCAGTTTGTTTAAAGATGGAGAATTATTGTGTGAGTGTTGAGATACTTTAAATAGACGAGCTGGTTGGTGAGAACGTGTTGGTTATTTATCCACATTTATTCTATTTTACTACACAAGAAGAAATCCCATAACTTATATTTAAAAAATTACATCATAAAAGTTCAGCCAATCAAAACACAGATTGTCCCTTTTTTTTTTCATGACTTTTTGTGAGATTTCTCAATTTTTGTTTGTCTGATATTGAGAATCAGCTTTAAAAATAATCTACATTTCCATTGCGGCTGAGAAAACTAGCCTAACCGGAGCCTACCTCTGCATCTGCTGTGGTTGTCCAGATAATGCTGAGCCGGACACTGGGCAATACATTTCCCACGATGCAGAGCGGTCCCTGGGGGGCAGCTCATACACTTGGGGTTGTCAGGGAAACAGGAGGCACAGGACGAGTCGCAGGCTGTGAACAGCAGCATGTGAATGTTAACACATGAACAAAATGTCGAAACTGAGTCTGTGAGACGAGTAAAAGTCAGTTATTACATATATAGAATATGTGTTTACGTCCAAATATATTCTAAAACATACAAACACACACACACATCTATAAAAGTCCACATTCTTACTTTCATATATGTGCGATTAAATCCGTCCCTTTGACACATCAACGTGTTCAAACACACTAAGATCTTCGATTCAAACAGACACTACAGGGTTTCCTATGGCTCGCTGGAGGGGACAAAAAAAAAAAAAAAAAGTAAACATATCTAATCCAGCGCAGGAAACCCTGAGGAGGAGAAGTGAGAAGATAAAACCCCTTCAGCTCCCTCCAGATGTTGACATTTCAAACCAGACGTCAAACTGGCAACTTCTAATGGATGTGACCTTTTTCCAGAAACTTCCCCAAGTTTTGACATTTTCTACAAGATGTCTCGTCGCTGAGTGACTCAGCCGCTCGATGTGAGCTGCAGGAAAACACAGTCTCCTTCCTCAACCCCCCCGAAGGAGGAAGAGCTCCTCTGTGTGCTGCTCAGTTCACCGTCGCCCTGAGGGACGCCTCCTCTTCCTCCTCTTCATCCCAACACTCAAAAATAGAAACCATTCATATTCATACAAGCTCTTCTTCCACAGAGAGAGATCCTCATTAGTGGAGGAGAGAACTGCTAATTATTGCTTTCTTTTTTCTTTTTTCTTTTTTTATTGTTTGTTTGCTAACTCCGGCTGCTGCTGACTTCACATTCTGGCACCTCGTGGCGTGGAAGCTGGCGAGAGGACCCACAGGGAAAAACAAGCCCAAACAAACCTTCACCTCCAGTTCACTGCGAACACTAAAGCTCTTATTGTCTCAGATGGTGTTTGTGTTCACTGCACCGCCACATCCTGTGACATCTGATGTGCCAACACGTGTCAGACGGAGGTGGAACGTCCATGTGACCGACGAGGATTTTAAGAATTCACATAAATGTGCAGATAGATGAATTCAGAGTAATTAAAGTTTGACTAAAATATACATTTTCTTTCTGCAATTTCTCCCTCTCTCTCTTTTAGGTTAACATTAGTACCGGCATCATTTTGTACTGTTGTATTCAGTATAATACATAGTATAATATTTAAACTATAAAAGTACATTTTGCAAAGTCAATAACA